GGATTTGTGTTGCCTTGTGTTCTGATGTGACGTGTTGAGACTCAACACACTGCTTGTGCTTTTACTGCTGAGACATCTCACAAGTGTACACAGTCCTGTAGCCGTTGCCGAGCGATTAAAAAAAAAAACACTCGTTACCATTTTACTGGTTCCCGGCGTGCCAGATATTCGTCAAAAGTAAGCAAACGTAAAATAATGGACTGCAAGCGTCCCGGCTGGTGCGTCTACCGTGCAATCATGTTCGCATGCACGTGAGGGCAACTTCTGTAGGCTTGCAGTTGCGCGTGCTTCATCGCGCGAGCGGAGGCAACGGCTGTTTGATCAAAATAAAAACCATGCCGCTCCGCTCCGTCGTCAACTGATTCCCGAAACTTTATGCAAAATTTAACTTTCGAGCGTGCGACCAAAATCCGTCAAGCGGCACGTGCTTGCCAAGCCGGCAAACAAAATACAGGCAAAACACACACACAAAAAAAGAACCTGAGCGCATTGATGCAAGACATCGTGAGTAGGGATGCCGCGAACTTTTTTCGAATCGAAGTTTCGATGATCGAATCAAGCGGTTCGAGAGGTTCGAAAGATATCGGTTTTTCGAATTGTCTATATCGTGAAATTCGACGGAGGTCGAATTTTCGAACTTGTTAAGCTAAGAAGTTCGACGCTTTTCGAACCGTCGAACTTATTACGCTAAAAAATTCGATCTTTTTCGAACTTTCGAACTTATTGCGCTGCAAGGTTCGATGCTTGTCGAACTTTCGAACTTGACTGACCAAAAAATTCGATAAATTTCGAACTTTCGAACTTATTTATCAAGAGAATTCGAAAAGTTTCGAACTTTCGAATTCTGAAAAGTCAGCAGTTCGACAAACTTCGAACTTTTAGGGTAAAAGTTCGACGTTTGTCGAACTTTGAAAGACCGGCGGACGGTTTCATTTGATTTCAAGTAGTGGGGTACATTCGTAATTTTTTTTCTCGAACTTTTACACGCGGTGTTGCGTTCCTTAAGAAGACAATGTCGATTATTTCAATTTTCTGGCACGCTTAGGTTTAAGGAAATAAATCCCCGAAGGGGCGAGGAAGGACGACGGGTTTTTGACGATTATCGTTTGTGCCAAATTTGAAGCACGCTGCAGCCGGAGCTATTTATGGTAGACATGTGTTATACTTTTTTAAGAATGTATAGCTTAGGTAAGTGCCGTCTTAAGATGTGATTATTGTTATTCAACGTGAGTTTCGGAGAAATGTCCAAACATGTATCTGCATTCAATTTTGACCTAAACTTGATATTTATTTTCGTCTAAGTTGTTTGAGGTATCGCATTTAAATTAACACCACAGACAGTACATATCATTGCCATCTGCAGAAGAGTCCGAAATACCTGCAAGGTGGAGAAAAAGGCTGAAGCCCCCCGCTACCCTCTTTCCCCCCGTTTTTCCTCTTCCGACGCCACTTGTATGGCAGAACGCTCCTTGACCTCGAGTTGTGTCGGCTTTCGTGCTTTTTGCGAGGCGATTCCTCCGTCCCAGAAAATAAACCTCCAGGACAATTATAGACTTCACCGGATCGGATTACTACCAGCGTGCAAGGGGTGGCGAGCTAGTTTGCCAGGTCGCTTCAAGGTTTGTCTAAGCCTTAACCTCCTGCTCGCCCCTGGCCGTTTTGAACCGGAAGAGTCTCGTAAAACAGTGTGTTCGTGCAATCACTACTGCGTGATGCAGGTTAAAGACCCCCCCCCCCGGGGCTGGCGGTCACAATTCTGCACTGGCAAATATTCCAGCACGTCCGGGACACTCGTCTCATTTAATTGCCTGACCAACTTCGCAGAATCTAGATATCACACCCTAACTTTTCTAAACTTGATTTTTTGGAAACCAGTGATTCGTGAAAACGCTATTTGAAACTGAAACTGTGGAGGAACTTGAAAATCGGACTTCGAACTTTGAAAAGTTGGACTAGAAAGAAATTCAAAATCTTCAAAGTTTTTTTTTCTTTTTTTAAAATTTAGCGTTAAAAGAGAATCGAAACTTTCGAACTTTTCGAACTTTATGCAGAAAGAAATTCGAAATCTCCGAATTGTTCGAACTTCATGTCTATAAAAATTCGAAGCGTTCGAAGTTTTCGAATTTTGTTTCCAAAGAATTTCGAAATCTTCGAATTTATCGAACCTGAAGGAAAACAATATTCGAAATATTCGAATTCGAAATTTTAGAAACCGTGAAAGCTTCGAAATTTTCGAATTCGAAACTCCGCTGTGGTCAAAAGTTGCGAATTTTTCGAATTCGAACCTCGGTCGGTACGAAAATATCGAAATTTTTCGAAATCGAACCTCAGTTCGCTTCGCAAATATCGAAACCTTTCGAAATCGAACCTAGGGTGGTTCGCGACATCCCTAATCGTGAGCCAGGGTCAAAAAGTTTTTGAACCACTTTGTGCAACGACTGAACTCGAGACAAACATGCACGCTGTGCAGGTTCAGCATGCAGAAATTGCCTTCTTTGCTTTAGCTCACTTCCCTTCACCAACTTTCTTTCAGGGATAATTTTTCACGTACCGGGGTCCCTCTCCAAAGAAAGCCCAACGAGAGAAACATAGGTAATCAATACCTCGACACAGCAGTCTCCGAGTCAAAGAGGGATTTTTGTAGTAACGTATGATTTAAACAAGAACAGGAATGTTGAAGAGCATGCGGCAGTACCTAGTTTCATTTTAGAAAGCGCCATGTGTGCAGCGACGTGGGGCTGCAACACCCGACGTCGCGCGACCACGGTGACTGGAAGGCAGAGACCAAATATATTTTTCCCACGGCCGTTGCTTTTAGGAGCGAGTGCTTCAGCTCACAAAGTAACTCTCGCCGCGCAAAAATGTGGTTTCGTTTCACAGCATGACGGCGTGGCTGGTACCCTGCACGCTAGCGTCAGAGCGTCCCCACACACCCACGTCTTTCGTTGAAAATATTTTTAGAAAAGACGCGAGACAAGACCCACGAGACGACGAGAGCACGAAACGCGAGACGGCGGGAAAAAACATGCAAGACCAGAGGGACAATTGATGCAGGGTACTTTGTGTCAGGCGGCCGCTTGCGCCACATAACAGATGCATGCTCAGTTACGGTAGTCAGTTTAGTTTCGGTCTTGAAAAGCGACCGAAATTGTTTTTTTGGCGCAGGCTGGGAGCAGATTACCCATGTTTTGGCAAAATGTAGCAGGGTGTAGCAGGGTCAGCCCATTGGCGCAGTTTGGCGCAATTGGCGCAGCAATCACATCACTGCAATACCAAAGCTCGCTAAATCTCAATATGAAAAAAGGTGCTGCCAGGATATCGTAGTCTATCATACATACGCGCCAAAGTTGTATTCAAAAACTGTTGCGTCTTGCTCTGGAGGAGTGCTTTTCCCTTGCACAGTGGTGTGCTGCAACAAAGCAAGACAAGCAAAATCTCGATGCTTACATTGTGGCATTTGCTTCTCTGCAGTACACCAGTGTGCGAGGAGAAGCGCACTTAACGAGACTAACTAATCCTCCAGCAGAAAAGACGACGAACATGAGAATTATTGCGAAACTTCCGAGTACTGTCAGCCTTTCATATGAAATGCGATTGAATTGTATGTTATTTCAGACGATAGTCAAACATTCTGAGAATTTGCATAAGCATATTGCCACGCGCGTCGGCAAGCAAGCGCGTGTGTGGCCGAGTGGTTATCGCGCTTGACTTTCGCGCAGAAGGTGTAGGTTCGTTTCCAGTCAGCGGACTGTCCTTTTATTTATTCTTTCAACTTGGCCTTCTCGTAAGTTCGAGAACTTTCTCGTCTGATCGAGTTCCGCATATTCTATGCACCGAAAGTTCTACACCGAATGATCCAGAAACCCAAAAGGCCACATAAGGGACTCCGCAAGGCGAGCGGAGTCAGTCTTGCTCCAGCGATTGATCCCGCTGTTTCGTCGACATCACACCTGCGACGCTACCTTACTTTTATTTTGTTTGGGCACAAGTTCGCCTCATTAAACGTATAGTTTCTTTAGTTATTCTTTGCCTCATCATTTGTCATTCGTGACAATATTGTAACGGTTCGACCAAGCAGCGAGGCCTGAGCTATAATATTTTCAGTATCATTAAAGTGAAATTAAGTTTCGGCGCAAAGTTGGTGGAAATTTCTCACGTTTTGGCAAAATGTAGGAAGATGCAGCAGGGTAACCGCTTTGGCGCAGTTTGGCGCAAATGGCGCAGCAATCACATCACTAAGGTAAGTCCAGATATAACAAACTACTGATAAAACTACCACCTTTTTTGCGCAAAACTATCACATTCGTCATAAGTGGGTTTGACTGTACTGCGTTAAAGAAGAAAAATCTTGACTGTCACAATTCAAACCCCCCCCCCCCTCTGCATGGCCATGTTAGTGTCCTAGACGGGTGTAGTAGAAAGAGCGGCGGCCAGGCCATGAATGGTTTGCATCAGGCACGTACCCAGAGGGGGCCCAGGGCCGTGTTCACACATGCAAAGTCATTATGGGAGGCGTCCCATAATGCAACGCGTGGGTCATAAGTGAGACCCGCGCATTGCATTATGGGACGTTTCCCATAATGCAACGCGCAGTTACGCCGCCGCCGCTGAAGCCAGAAAGGGGCGCCTAAGAGCTGCGCTCTAAAAAGGTAGACTTATATTCAAATATATACCGTAGTTTACTTTTGCGGTGAGAAAAACCTTGTAAATTTGTTTTTGGGACCTCAACATTAGTTGGTAGGAAAGAATAAAAGAAACAAACGACTCCAATGAAGTCGGATAATTTACTAAGTATGTAATACATACACATATCACCAGACAATCTCTCGTTGAAGATTGGGTCTAAAATCTTGAAAAGTGTAGAGTGCACTTTTGGAAGAGACATAGGCAAAGAAGCCCGTTGGAACCAGGTGCTCAGAAATGGTAGGTTTCTTTTGAGACTTGCACTTTCAAGTAACGGTGAGTTTCCAACTTGATGCGACAAAGACAGAGGTACCTACCAGTTGTCGTCTATCACAATGGCAGGCCCCTGAACCACGTGGCCGGCCAAGAGTTTATTGAGCAGAAACACCGGCGTTGTGTAGTAGCGGTCCTCGAAGTAGCACTGGGTCTCCTGGGAACAAAGAAGGGGCGATTTGAGCACACATGTTAAGGTCTTCTCATTCGACTATTACTTCACACAGACAAGAAAACAAATATCTAAAGTTGCTCGTGACACACAACGACCAGAAACACGTCAAGGTGGCAATATGGGCACGTCAAATGTTTATTTTTTGAAAGGGCAAAACGAAAAGAACGAAGACAGAGAATAAAGAACTAAACGAGACAGGCATTGTCCAGTGCTACTTCTGTTCAGTTTCTCACTCTGTCTTAATCCTTGCATGTCTTTTTTCCTTTTTTGAATACACATGACACAATGCCTCTTAAGACTATATTCTCATGGTCCAGTATCATTGCATGTTTGAGTCATATTGCCACGTGCGGAGGGGTTGCCAATGCACGGAGCTGCCACGCGAAGGAACAGGGTTTGAACCCCGCTCGCCTCGGATGTTCCTTTTATAGTTCTGTATTCTTCTGAAAAGCTCGAGCTCATTCTCGGCTTCCATCTTCTGTTTTGGTTCAGAACATTCCTAAACTGACCGAGTGTGCAAAAGCAGCGGTAGAGTCTGCGATATTCCTATGGTCTCCGTCCCCGATGGTCGTGATAACGGCCGCGGGTCGGAACGCTCGGCCTCCTTCGCCGTGAGTTTTGACCTGTTAGTGAGGCGGAGGGTCCCCTGTCTTGGAGGGCCCTCCCCTCACTCTCCACCCGGGGGGTCCATCTTCCGTTCTCCCGCTCGCATGCGGATCACTGCTGACAGGTGAGGAGGTTTCGCCTCTTCTTTTCCCGCTTTCGGGAGGTAGACTCGTCCAGCGACCGCGAAAGAGATAGGACGTGTATTGATGACTTCTCCAATAGTTCCCCGATCTTGGTTCTCTGGAACCCTGTGTTGTCTCGCAGGTAAGAACCTTTTCTTATCTTGCCAGTGTGGGGGTCATTTTGGATGGGGACGTAGTAGTTCGTATAGGAGAATGTCTTAATAAATGCTCTTGGACTCTGTACTTACTCTGGTACGTGTCTTCTCTTCCACTATACTCGAGAGAGTGAGACAACATAGTCGATCATTGGCACTGACGGAGGTACTTATCAAACTGACCCGCAGTAATGTGGCCCTAAACGTCGTCTATATTGCCGCGTGCATGATCGAGAAGATACGTAAACGATAAGGAGGCCAGAATTCCCTTGCCTAGTCAGTCTCGCCCTGGCTCTTTCGCGAACATTCTAGGTAGAATATTCGGGATAACGAGCATAGTAAATAACGAGCCGAGCGCCTTATTGCCGATTCATTCACTGATTCTCTCTCGCGATAGCCAGCTGTCACGCCAATGCATCGTTGCTTGCTGCTGCCGCCGCCGTCAACAACGTGTGTTCCTTTTCGTTTCTGGCACAAGTTCACTCCCATTAAATCTTTAGTTCTTTCCGTTTTCACCTACATCATTGTCTGTCATTCGTGACAATATTTCTGCGGAGATGTGGGGACCGCGCTACTAGGTTTGACGTTTCCTTTGAGATCGCCGCCGCTGTTGAGATAATCCTTTGGTTACTCTATCGGTACCTCTGTTGGTAGCTAACAATCCCACATAAAGTGGCGCCCAACAAGGGGCCACGACTTTTTTTGTCTTGCTCGTGGCACCTGGCCTCCGTCTCCTTGTCCGGCCTTGGCCAGCAATTCCTTGACTTTGATTGCCTCGTACCATGAGCGCTCTGATCTCGCCTCTTATGGTTCAGCGATTAATGCCGAGTCGGTAACTTGCAGTGCTGCTAAGGGTCTCCCTTTGAGCGAGCGCAGTGCGATTCATACGCGTGCTCCTGTTTTGAATTGGTGTGCGTCAAGCAACGTTTATTGTTGCGGAGACCCTTAGTTCTCCATGCTCGAGGCGAACCTTTCACCTTTGTGATGTGTAACTGGTTCCTTGTGCGCCACCAACTTGTCCTAAAGGGAAAATGTATACAGAAGTTTTGAAGACGTCCTTGAGAACCGGGTGGACTTTTATGTTCAGCAGGGAGCGAGGCTCGGCAGAAAAGAGTAGCGAATGAGCAGCAGTGCAATCTAAAAATGTAAATATGAACTTTTTTTTTTTTTTTGACTCCAAGTAGTCACAGACACTCAGAGTCGGACGGTAACAGCCAACAACTGGCTGGTACTTCTACTGACGGGCTCCGGGAGCTGGGCCACGTAACTGACTCCTCGTTCGGGTCAAACGATGAGACGGAAGAGACCAACGAGCAAAACCCGACAGCGGTGACGGCGGCGGTAGCGGCTGAGCCGACAGTGGCCGCAGAGGCGGTGGTGGGTCCCGGGGCCAAGAAGTCGGAGCCACACGTTCGTGACGAATCGGAGGCTGGTGAACAAGGGAAATCCGACACACCGAAAGCCGATGCTTCGGAGGACACAGCCACTCCGACGCAGTCAGCAGCGGAGGCGACCGCTTCGCCAGCGGGGGCAGCGCTCCGGTGGTTAGCTCCAAGCTTGGTCCTACACCAAAAACCTGTTCCAAGGAAACGAGGGGGCCGATCAGGCAAAGTTCCAGGCAACAAAGAACCAAGGACGAATAGGCCCCCGAGCATCGGCTCCCTCTCGTACTCGTTTTTCTCCGTACTGTCGTGCCGTCGATGCGGATTAGGGAAGACCGGTCCTGGTTCGCTTGGTGAGTGTCATTTCTCGGTCTCCGTTCATCAACCTGTTTTTACTTTGGTCTTTATTTGCCTGCTGCTTTTTTTATTTTTATTTTTTAGTCTGCGATGTTCTTGTTTGTCAGAGCCTACCTTTTTCACATGTCTGCCATTCACCAATCGATGTATTTTAAACCCAAATCGAGACAATGTCCTTTTGCCATTATAACATGAACAAAAAAGTGTACCCACTGCCCAACGAAGTAGGGCGAAAATTCAGCGCCCTCTCTACTACTCCCCTTTCTCTGTTTCATTTAAGGGAGGAGGTGGGGAATAAATATGAAATTTCTTATTTCTAGAGATATCTGAACGAAATTTACAGAATGTGTTTATAGCACAGACATAAGAGTAACTGCAAAGTTTAATGGAGCTGTGCATATTATTTCTCAAGTTACAAATATTTATCAAAATCGTCCATATGCATTCCTTATCCCAGGTCTGGAGAATTTGAAAAAGGTAGTAGCGGCGTAAAATTTGTTATGATGACCCCTGGATACATTCCCCAGGGCATAACAGAGACCTTTTTTTAAATTTCTTTGTTGAAAAATTTTAACACAACTTTGAATTTTGTGTAGTCAATGAAACCCACATTCACCAAATTCATTTTTTTATTATAAATTTTTAGTACAGTTTTCTAAAAAAAAGGGCTCTGTTATGCCCTCACAAAGTTATTAGAGAACAGAATAAAAAAGACAGCACAAAAATCCATTCATCAGTTCCTGAGATATCGCTGGAACGAGCAGCCACGACAGTGAAAAAATCCATTCTGAGAAAACAGCACTTGAAAGTTGCACGCAGATTTTCAGCTTTAGAATGACCCTGCAGAATAGTCAGAAGTGTTCTTGCGCACTTTCTTCTTGTTCCGCCTTTCCAAATTCTCTTGATGTCGTTTGCTGGCCTTATGCAGACGTAGGGCATCTTTCTCGACAGCTCGTTGGAGGGCCAGATGGGTCGGCTGAAGTCCCGCTGCAACCGATATTTCTGCAGTTGCCTTGTAGCAGCCGGCGTTGAACCTCAACACCACTTCATGCAGTGCAGTTTGCTGGCATAGCTCCAAGTTCGGCTTGAGCAATATCACAATGTCTAGCTTCTGCTTCGATCTCCTCACGTGTCAGGAAATGCGTCCGCAGATGGGTGCTAGAAGACGCGCTCCTACTTGTCGCGGCGGGCGGAAGACGGGCGCTGGGACCCGCGATCTCGGGAGGAACCACAACGGTCGGCATGCTCGGTACTCCAGGCGTGAGCGGGGCGATGCGTTCTTCCTTGACGACAGCCGATGGCACAGAAAATCCATCACTGGAAGTGTTGACGCGATCATCATTGACGGCACGCCGTGCAGAAACTTCCAACTTCGCCATCCGCACTAACTTCATGGACCGCTTCCGCGCGCCAAACGCGTGCACCGTCTTGTACTTCGAACCCCGCATCGTGTGCGACCACGAAACAGACGGGCACGCTACACGAAACTACTCAAAGAAAGTTCGGAAAACGATCGTAAAGATGGCGAAAAACGAAGTGGAGCTGACAAAGCAAGAGCGCGTGCAAGCAGACCACTACCAAAAGCAGACGACGCAAGCGGCAACAGCAGGAGAAACGGAGGAGGAGAGCGCTCCGCGCGCGGAGAAATCGCATCCCAGCCAATAGCAGTCGCGCGCTCCCCCGCACGCTCCTCGAGCGCGCGCTCTGTCCAATCACGTTCTTGCGATTGCGACATGGAAGAACGGCGACCACGCCGTAACCACGCAGCCGACGCCATTTTGGGAGCTGGCAAAAAAAAGAGAAAGAATTCACGTTCAAAACAAGACTAAGATGGCGGCCGTCGGCCCAACGCGTCGAAAATGGCGAGCGCGCGAAGTTGGGGTTGATTTTGACGTTTGACCGTCACTTGGATGCTATTCAGGCCTCGTAAATAATTGTTTTTAAATATTTCCCCGTTGTATTTGGTGCTGATAATTACAGAGAAGGTAGTTTATGAGATATACGACCGAAAAATAAGGTTTTCTAAAAATCGACTTTTTCGCAATTTTCCGGTTTTCAAAGCCCGCGTCCCCCCTTAAACATTCAATCAGCACGGAACAAGTTTGATGAGTTGAATATTTTTTTAGACGATTTTGGTTTCTCTTTTGATTTCCTTATGTTAACCGAGACGTGGTGCCGTTCTGATGAGACGATGGACCCTTTGGATGGATACACCGTTTATGACTTAAATCGCGGTTTAAAGCGCGGGGGTGGTGTTTGTATTTACGCAAAAACTGCTTTCGAATGTACGGTCATAGATCAGTTGACTACTGTTACAAATGATTTTGAAATTCTGACTTTAGAAAGTTCAAAATCTATATTATCTGTTATGTATCGTCCACCAAATGGTGATATGGACTTGTTTTTGGAATTCATTGAAAAACTCTTTATGTTCATGGGTGAAAACAATGTCACCTTCTACTTGGGCGGAGATTTTAATATTGATATGATGACGTCATCTCCGCAACAATTGCGGTTTTTGTCATTGTGTAATTCCTACGGTTTCTTTTGTCCAATATCCCAACCAACTCGGGCAAATAATACGAATGCAACGCTTCTAGACTTGTTCATAACAAATATTGATGATTCACGCCTAACTGCTGGTGTCATTGGGGCCACAATCAGTGACCATTTGCCAATTTATTTGTTTGCCGATCTAAAAATTCGGTCAAAAAAGTCTTCGAACACAAATTACACTTTTCACAGAGATATAAGCTCAAGAAGACTAAACTATTTTGAAGAGGAAATACAACTTACAAACTGGAGTGCGGTTTTTTCCTGTGACTCAGCTGACCAGGCATATGATCTCTTTCTTGAAACGTTCAGAAATATCTATAACCGGTGCTTTGCCTACAAGAAGTGTCGAGTGCATAAGAAATCACGCAAGCCGTGGGTTACTTCGGAGATAATTAGAATGACGAATCGAAAGAATGCGCTCTATAATAAATTTCTGCACACTAGAGATTTGGGCGTCCTCCGCGAATTTAAAATTCAAAGGAACATGGTGACTAGTGCTATTCGCAAGTCAAAGCGTACATACCATTATGATATGTTTCAGGGTGAACCTAGAACGGATGTCATGTGGAAAAAAGTGAACATGTTAGTAAAACCTCACTCTCGTAGTGACTCAATTAAAACGATTACTGTAAACGGCGAGTGCATAACTGGCGCCGTGTTGGCTGACAGGTTCAATAATCATTTTGTAGACTTAGTTGATAGCGCTCACTCCGTCAATGCTTGTGACCTAGTCGATAAGACTTTGGAGAGTGTTTTTCTTCTGCCTACTGACGACAGTGAATTGATATCAGTATATAACATTTTTAGAGAGAGTAAAAGTAACGACGTGCATGGCATTCAGATCGGGCCTGTAAAGCATGTAATTCATTCTATCGTCCCTTGTTTGACCCACATTTATAACCTCGCCCTTCAGGATGGGGTGTTTCCTAAAAGAATGCAAGTGGCCAAGGTGTCCGTCCTCCACAAGGCAGGGGATAGGAACAACGTGGGTAATTACAGGCCTGTGTCTGTAGTGCCGGTATTCTCCAAAGGACTAGAAAAAATTATGCACATGAGACTATATGCTTTCTGTGAAAAACACTCAATTATTACCCCTTGTCAATTCGGTTTCCGAAAGGGGTACTCGACAGAGTTGGCGCTACTAAAACAGAAATAAATGATACTTACAAACATAGAAAACAAACTGCTAACATTAGGCATATTTATCGATTTTTCGAAGGCATTCGATCACCTTAATCATAAAACTTTACTGCAGAAACTGGACCTTTGTGGCATCAGGGGTGTTGCCCTGAAGCTAATCGAAAGCTATTTGCAAGACCGTTATCAGTACGTTGAAATTGACGGGGAGCGTTCAAACATGCGCCAAATAAAGACAGGTGTACCGCAAGGGAGTACTCTCGGGCCCCTTCTCTTCAATCTTTTTATAAATGACATAGTGAACTTAGATGATAGCGCCAACTACATAATATACGCAGATGATACAAGTTTGTTTTTCTCTGGGACTAGCATTGACGTCATTATAAGAAGAGCAAATCAATTCTTGCAGAGTCTAAACGTTTGGACCACCGCAAATTCATTAACAATAAATGTTGCGAAAACTAAGGCAATTATTTTCCGCGCAAAAAATACAAGCTGCACCAGCAGCCTGCCGGGAGGGCTCTCTTTTGCCTCACGAGATGTGGAAATTGTAAAAAATGCTAAGGTGCTTGGCGTAACTTTTAATGAACATATGCTGTGGGATGAGACGGTGCAGGACACAACCATAAAGCTCTCGAAGGTTGTAGGCGTTTTATATAAATACCGTAGTATCTTACCCCCCTCGATAATGCTGCTTTTATATCACGCCCTGTTCTGCTCATATTTCGATTATTGTTTCCTGGTTTGGGGTACCACTACGAAAATGAACGTTCAGAGACTTTTTATAATGCAAAAGAGGGCAATACGAATAATATGTAATGTAGCGTATGATCACTCCACAAAATCTTTGTTTAAAAAGCTTGACACGTTAAAAATCACCAATTACTATAGTTACAAGCTTTTGATGTCATATAAAAGATCATTAAACAACCCTATTAGCATTTTTAATTCAGTCTCAGGTTTGGAGTCGCGAGACGCAACATACAGCACTCGTCATTCTCGAAACTGGGCCGCACCGCGCTCCACAACTACTTATGGTGACCAGAGACTGGCTTTTACTCTCCCAAGAATTTTAAACAACCTTGAGGCAAAGGGAATTTCCGTGGCCAACACAAGCAAAAAGGAAATTCGTGACCTATTTGAGTGATCTATTGAATAGGTGTTGTCATGTTTTGAAGGTGCAGAGGCAGTTGCGTATATATTTTTCAAAGTCAATGTGCATTGTAGTGCATGTGCTCATTACTAAACTCTTGGAGCAAGTGTGTGCTACTCTGAATTATGTTTACCTTGTTTAACTCTTTCGCACTGTATATAATTGACACCACTGTCCTGTGTAAGCGCTCGATTACTATCTGTTTTTATATATGTTGCATTGTTCTTTCACTCATATGTTGTGTTTCCTCTGCGGATGTAAAGGGGAGGCGGGGGCTACGTCAAGTAGCGACATGCTGCTTTTTTCCCTGCCTTCCCCTCTCAGATGGAGAGGAAATAAATTGATTGATTGATTGATTGATATAAAGTCTAAGAACGCCGGGTCTAGGCAGAGCCCCAGAAGGCCTCCAGGGACCCCAAAAAGTCCACGAACCTCTATTTGAAAACCACTGCTTAGATCATAGAAATGATTCAAGTAATCGCGATGCCGTTTAAATGATGCGCCATTCCCTTCTCCACATCTCTTCCCGTCAGTGTTGTCACGGCATGCTAGAAGAGGAGGTGTGACATCCTTAAGGGTGAGCACAGTCCAGCGATTTGGCCCACAGAGCAGAGTATCACCTGCGAGTGGCTGGCTGCACCACCATCCACTTCTACCGAGTGAGTGTGCAGTTCAGAGCGGAAGGAAGAGTAGTTTGCTTCCGCAGAACGCAGTCGTGGCGTCACTGTTGACTTCCACGCGGTACTCTGCAGGCCGAATCATGGGACCACTTTTTATCGTGGTCAAATTGACTAATCACCACTGCTCCTTTTCTAGCCCACCATAGGTCGATGCTATCAACGTGGAAGAAAGGACAGCTTGTAGACCCTGGAAGGCTCACCTCTGTGGGCTGTGGGTCCCCTTCAGCCCTGGGCAGCTGGTGCGAATGCGTGAGGCACGAGCGTCCCACGGCACGCACACGCACGTCGTCCACCACAATGTCGCGGCCACGAAGAACAAACCCAAACTCTCTCTTGTACCTGTTGAGGACATTGAGCGTCGGCTGCCGACATTATTGTTTTTCAACCGAAAAATGCCGTGGAAATCATATAAAGTCTGTTAATCGTAAAAGACTAGCTGTATCTGTTTTTGACCAATAGGGACAGAGCGAATCTAACTGGAGTGCCAATCAGGGCGGGGTGCCCCGATTGGCACTCCAGTTAAGAGATTGGTTTTGTCGGGACTCGCAAAGCAGACGCCGCATGAAAAATGTGCCGCAGCGAGTTGTATATTGCGAATTGTAAGATGCATATGCCTTTCCACAAAACACTAGATATGTGCTGTGTAGTTCGATGCGGTTGCACAAATAGAAATTTTCTTGGTGCGAAGTTATAAGGGCTATAAGCGTAACCTTACGAGACTGAGTGCCACTCAACTTGGATCCAACTTGTGCGTAGTTGCGAGTGGCGTTTTTCACCTTGCAGTTCACATTCTGCTTTAAACTGCGGGATGTATGTATAATTACATCTTTTTTTACAGTGGAGCTGTTAAGGGCTAGTTTCCCCAGTATCGTGTCCGCGGGCAAACAATAGATGGCGGCAACCAGACAATCAACTTGCCGGTCATCTGGTTGCCGCCGTCGCTCATAGATGACGGCAAACTTTCCAGCGTTTCCACTCTGGTTTTCACCAGAGCGGAAAGGCTGAATATCTCTAGGCATCGTCCTAAGAGTCGTCCTCGAGGTCGTCCTAGACGTCCTCGAGGTCATCCAAGAAGTCGTCCTTGAAATCATCCTAGACATCGTCCCTGTGGTTGTCCTAGGTGTCGTCTTCGAGGTCGTCATGGAAGTTGTCCTTGAAATCGTTCCAGACATTGTCCTTGAGTTCGTCCTAGACGTCTTCCCTGGCATCGCCCTTGAGGTCATCGAAGAAGTCATCCTCTAGGCATTGCCCTAGACGTCGTAAAAATGACAGCTTCGCTGCTCCTCCATCTTCACATGAAGGGAAAGGGCTCTACATTTTTTTCATTGAGGCGACAGTAAGTGCAGTATAGACCCTATTACAGTCGATTATCAAGAAATGTTTGTGGAATCACTCGCAACTGAAGAGGGAAGTCAGTCGCCAAGGGAGGCCAAGACGGACCCTTCTCCACGTTTGCTCCCGTCTTCCTCTCTTTTCTCCCGTTGTCGGAAGATCATTGCTCTGTTTCAGCTCACATGCATCGTTATCTCCGCGATCAGGTTGTTTACCGTTTGCGGATTTGCATTCAATATGGTTGTTGCTTTGCCGCACGTGCAGTCCTCCTTTTGAGTGGTCGAAGTGCCTAGGAACGCATGGGTGTCCAGCCGACATGATGAAAAAAGGGTGCCTCTTTCGCCTATATCGTGCAAAGTAAGAACGATAGCCGTAGCACATTTGCGCACCTTGGGATCCCCACGCAGTCGTATACGCATGGCATGGGTGACCTTTTTTGGTGGTTACTGTGCGTGCGATGCCGGTCGCAAGCCACGGAAGCCAGCCATTCCCTCTGTGCTCACTCCTGGGACAGAGCATATGGCCTTGGTGCGGCGACATTATTACAGAGAGTCTGCAGCAGTGACGACGCAAGCGGAGGTGCAGGTTTTCCTTGGGTTGTTGAGTGGTGGAGGGAGGGGGTAACGATGTTGTTCAGAGATGAGCGGAGAGGGGAATGCATCCAGATAAACGAGGGGAAGCTCTGCGGGTAGGGCAGGGGCAAGGCGACGAGTTCAGGCTATTTTTTGTGTTGTGTTCCAGAAGTAGAGATGTTATAGAGAAATCGAATGCGGGGAAGTTTCTAAGGCCCTACAACATTACGCATAGCAATTGGACACTGCCAAAATGGGATTTTGTATAATGCGAGTAAGGCTTGAAACACCCGTTTTGAAGTTATCGTCAGCAGACGACGCTTCCTCATCATCGCACCGCTATCAACAGGTCGTCGGGGCTCTCTTCTCTTCCCTCCTCGTGCGGCGCAGCCGATGGAAATACCCAATTTTTCTCTCCTCGTGCCGTGAGGGGAGGAAAGAAGGGTTTTTCCATCTCCGCTGTGATGACAGACAACTACAAACGCCAACATTAAAATCTCCGCAAAGTATCACCTTTAAAGCTGTCGCTTTATAGAAAGCATGGCAATATTAGAAAAAGTAAAAGATTCACTCTGCAAGCAAGTACTCCACTGGAATGCTCAGCAGTGCCGGACTCGTTTGAACTGCCACTGGGAAGATTGACACCGATGTTGGTCACACTATATGGAATGCTTCTTGTCTCGGCAGTTTGAGCTGACATCCCATGTTACTCTAAGGATAAGGGAAGACAATATGTTGAGCAATGGGATGAAAGCGAATCTTAGCTGCGTTCCAATGTGGGGAGCCAGACTAGTGATGCTGGGATCGAGCTTTACTGCAGTGGCCACGAGAGCTCTGGACATGTTTTTTGTATTGATCATGTGAAGAAGGCTCAGTCGGAGGCACCGGGTTGCAGGGGCAAAGCCAGTTTGTCTAGCGCCCTCAGGATAATCACTTTCAATGCCTTCAGCAGCGTCGGTTACGAAGTTAGAGAAATGAGGGGGGCAGTGGAAGCCATCCGCCATCTTCTGATGTCATGCAAGCTTCTACAGCTGCCAGGCAAGCAAGTGCATTGATGGACCAGATTTTTGGTGCCTGTAAGGGCCCTAGAAAAAACTGAGTGTCCACCTTCACACAAGAAAACTGTTCCAGCTTGTGTTTGGGCTGAACAGTAAAGACCTGTTGGCATCATGCAGTGAAGGCAACAGATGGAATGCTAGTCAGAGCCAGCATTCAGTCGTCTAGCTTTAAAGCTGTGGAATGCACGTTCGACAGCGACAACGTCTCGCGCGTTGCCGTCAGATAGACAATGGTTCGGCTTGGCTGCTCGGCCCGCAAAAACAAAGTTGGCCTCCCGGAAAAAGGAGGAAAAGGAGAGGTGGGGAAAAGAAAGACCCCTGGCGAGACCAGAGAAGAGGGACTCTGGAGAATTCATCCCTACGACTTTGCTTACGCTGTCGTGAAGCCGCACTGCCCAGCGAAATTCGCACCCGTACTTCATCTTTGATTTTATATAAATTCTGATGCAAGCTATACGCGAGAAAATATGTTATGCTGACAAAGCATACCAAACTATCAAGTTGAGAGGGTCAAATGAAAGCTATCGTGACTGGCATTGTGTTTTACTTTCAAAAGCAGGGCTGGAATCACACACGTTAGATACCGAGATTGTGACCCGAGTTGCCCCATTTGACGCCGATGAAGCCACGATTGAACACGCACAAAATGATTTGTGAAGTGCTTCAAATTCAGCATGGGTGTCCAGATCATTACATTGCCGCAAGACAAAGGTCGTTATATATGCATTCCACAGTTTAAAGCACGATCAGTGAAAAACACCAATTCATAGCTATGCACAAGTTGAACCCATGTTGACTGGCACTCAGTCTCGTAATGTTCTACTCTAGACTCGCCCAACTTGGCATGGAGCAAGTCTATTTATTTGTACTATGGCACCGAACGACACAGCATGTATTTTGGTTTTTCTGGAAAGGCATATGCATCACACATACAATATCAAGCTTGCTATGATGCTTTTTTAATGCTGCGGATGCTTCCCAAGCACCGTCAAAAACTATCAGCGCACCACTGGGAGCAGCCTGGTCGGCGCTTGAGTTACGTTTGCTCCGTTCCTATATAGTTCACTCAGAACTGCACAAGTAACATTTGCAATATTTTTCATTCTCCATATCTCCTGTCTATATATATTTTTTTTATGTTCTCCTAAATGAATTGCCCCTTTTTCAACTTAATTTGTTTGGGAAGAAAAACAACATATTGAGGAATTAGTGCATACGATTCTTCATACAATTTTCTGCAGTACCGTATTAGCACGAATATAACACGTTTTTTTTCGAAATTACGTGCTCCAAAACGCACCTCGCGTTATATTCGGAATCCAGTTCAGCCACGAGGCGCGAGTCTGGAGAAAGCCAGAGGAGAAAGCCATCCCTCCGGCTCAATGCAAAATATCCGGTGTGAAAAGAAGTGGGGGTGTGGAAGGGAATTTATTAGCTATTGGGCCACGTGAAGGGGCGAATAGAAAACATAAAATTTTTATCACTTTTGTGTTTGTACAATGCGTGCACACCGCAGAAGCGCGCGCCCGCAATGCGGAAATGCGGGCACTGGCCAATACGAGCCAAGCCAAGCCAAGTCAAATCAACACAAGCCAAGACCACCCACCGCGTTTATGCAATGGTGCAACACGAGGCATTTGTTTATGCAGAGGCACCAAAACAAGAAGTGTGATCGTACATCGGGTTCAGCAGTATTCTTTTCTGCCTGCGCATTGTTTAGTTTCTGCTCCAGAGTGGTCTGGTGTTTGTGTGTTGGTGCTCCTGCTTGGTGCCTTGTTTGGATTGTGGGCTGCCGAGGAGCTCGCACGGAAGAAGGAACTACCAGACAAGCAGGTGCCGTGCTGCTTGCCAAGTGGATTGTAAACGGAAGGACCTGAGCAGTGAGGATGAGTGCAGTCAAAACATAAACTGGTATTTCTTCTATTTCCATTGACTTTTCACTTCTGCTATGCCCCCGAGTGCGAGAAATTGACGCGGCATCAGTTCGCGTTATAATAGTAATAATATATATTTTTTCTTTTGTGGGCATCAAAACTTGCCTTCATGCTATATTCGTGGTCGCATTATATTCGTGCGAATACGGTAGCTATCAAAACTTTAACTGGAGTTTTCTCACCTTTTTTTTGTCAGCATGCTTAGCCTTATGCAGGTTCTTACGGCATTTTTCTCCTACGCTTTCAATAAATTTGATAGCATCGAATGCAGGAAAAAGTGAACAATAAAGTAAAGCTTTATTTTTGTGGCTAAGTGTTACCAAACAAATTTCAACAACAATACTATGACATTATTATGGTTCATAATTAGGGTTTGTCACAATTGAACAAGTTTATGCTACAATGTATGTCTATACATACACAAAGATTTAGAATGCATAGCAGGTCCTTAACTACAAATCCACACCACTCAAGAAAATATAATTTTTTGGAAAGGACTTTAACAACCATGTTGAATTAACTTGAGAGACTGGGGTAGAGAAGAAACAGCAAAATGTAGAAGGGACAGAAAATTCTCTCCCTTCTACGTTTTGATGTTTCTTCTCTACCCCAGTCTCAGGTTATTTCAACATGGCAAATATTCACCAGCTCGCCTGCACCCTCACAATTTTTTTTATGACCTTAACAACTTCTAAACAAATGATCTAATTAGGCTTCGGTGCTTTCCTAGTACCATGAAAACTAAATGAGATGTCTTGAAACTAATTGCATATTTGAAAAAAAGAAAACTTAATATACACAGTGATTTTCATCAATACCTGGATAAATAAAAGGCTCGAGGTACATTTAAGCACTTCTTATAATTGTGAATGTGAAAGCAGCCACGCCGCTCTTCGCTCCCTTCTTTAATATGCGGCGTACAACACACTGACTTTGGGCATGGAGCAGTGGAGCCACTGCCTCGCAGACACGCAGCGCCATCGGGTGAGCGATCGCTCAAACTGTCGTGTGCCTTGCGGCGCCAGGAAGGAACAGACAGCAACGTAGTTCCCAGTAGAACAAACCCCTTGGTCTATTCCATGAGCCGTATATATTGCCACGCGCCGTACAACCGATAAGAAGCGAGTGAACGTGGTGATCAGTGATAACACAGCAGTGTGATAACACAGTCATGATGACACCACACAAACTTCCGTGCAGCGGCCAATGGGAGCCTCGTCGACGCGCGCCAGCCAATGGGACTGAAGTGTAAAAAGTATGTCGGCTAGCTTTGCACGTCGTGCCGTTCTGCATGGTTTCAAAGCTGATGACGTCGGCTCGCTCAACGAGAAAGTTAATGCTTTCGCATTAATAACATATACACTACAGGAGCAGTGTCTTCCCGTCAGTTCAGACATAACAATAATGGGTTACAAGCAGATTATCCGGTTTCGTCTATGTCGTTACAAGTAGGTCCCAGCGTAGAACAAAGCGGAAGTCTACGACCAACCAACGAATGGAAGAGCCCACCTGCTCTGGAAGGAGCCCTGGAAGTTCCCGAAGCTCGAGACCACGTCCCCGCTGGCCCGTGGGTCGGGACTGCCACCGGAGACTTCCGGTGGGCACATGAGTGCACAGTCCGTCCTGTCGTAGCGCATGTGCAGGAAGGGCTCCACCTCTATTTGCTCCCTGAAGCAGAGGTCCCAGCTGGGGTAAACATCCGTTCTCTTCCCCACAAAGCAAGCAGGCCCCAGGCCTCGGAATGACCACGGCTGTTTCGCTACAGCAGCCTGCTGGCAAAACACCCACTGCCCTTCCATGGCAGAGCTTCCGTTCTAGAGCAGTTTTTAAAGGGGCACTAAAGTGCTTTCCGAGATCCTTGTTTTATGGTCATAACTCAACCTACGAGCTCTAAGCATCCTAAAAAAAACAGAAATTACATGTATGCACGGCCGATTTGCATATTAAAAAAGGTGATCAAAAATGCCGACACTTACTGTTGCTGAAAAATGACAGATGGCGCACCTGAACATCGCTCAATATGGCCAAAAGAGGTTTTTTAGGATGCTTAGAGGTCGTAGATTGAGTTATGACAATAAAACGAGGATCTCAAAAAGCACTTTAGTGCCTCTTAAGGAAGAAACTATTTAAGCTGGAAAATCCAGTTTTTTATGCATAGAAAAAAACAAAAAAAAAATGTTTGGTTGACAGTGCTATTCCTAGATGGTACCACACAGGCTCAGATCTGTTTTCGGGACTCAAAGTTTTCATCTTTGTACTCTATGTTGTGTCACCTGTAAGAAGCGGAGTTAACCAGACAGTTTTTTCACTTTTCCTCCCTCTGCATAGGAAAAAAAAGGCTTTTTCAGGATAACGTAATAAGGCAGGGAAGCTGGTTAAAGTTAAACATTTCCAAAACCCAAGACGGAGGCTACAAAGAGGGGACAAAAAAAGATGTCCAAACTTTTTTTGTGGGAAAAGTGTATGGCTTTTTCACACTTACTTTTTTTTCCTTAAATCTATGTAGATAAAATTTGAGATTGATAAATGCACCATGTATTGTGAAAAGTTACATTGCACTTTGTTTATTGGTTTATTTACACAAATTTCTTTTCAGCCCGATAAGCACCCACTCACCGCTTAAATCCTTGGTCGAGCAGCCGGTCTATGCAGCGCTCACTGAGCTCCTTGAGCCTGGCATCGATCTGCCCAATGTTCCCTAAGGAAAGAAGAACGAGACATTCTGGAGCAGCTTTCGGAGCATATCCTTCTTTCCTATTATCACCAACACTACGTTAGGATTTGTTGGCTTGTCCAGCTGAAAGACAATGTCTCCTTTGCCACCCTTTCTGTGCAATCATTTGTTCCCTTGTGCAGCAAGCTGAATTGCCTCAGACACCCTACTCGCCATTTAGATGAGCATTTAATAAACATAGAGTAAACATTTAGTCGTGCCTTTAAGCATCAGGCACAGTAACAAGTTACTGAATGATGAAGGACATAGCATGAACACTAGTAAATGACTATCTTAGGTATGAAATCAAAAGCACATCAAACAGTAATCAACCAATATTACATTAGAATAGAAAAATTAAAGGAAGATCCAATGGTGGATCCTTAGGAAATGCGTTAGCATGAACCTTAAGACACCACGCCTGCCCCCTTTATGAATGCTTGAAAGGGTAAAACATTGAGGACAGGGAGGGGAAAAGTACTTCTTTCATTGAGCAACAACATAAAATGGCACAAAATATAAAACCGCACCCCCAAAGGTTTCAACGTTCTCGAAAAGGGAAAGGAGAAAATTGTTAAAAGAGAGGGAAATGTACTATGTACTATAATGTACAATAAATTTAAAAGTTCAGAAAGCACTAGCGTCACGACGAGGTATCAGTAATCTTGTTATCTCTGGTGTTAGGAATTCAACCTCTGTCATTGTCAGTGATAATGAAGGTGCAAAAATGTTGTTGGTGACAGTCCCCATGGCAAATGATTCAATGATTTCTCTCCCAAATCTGTTGTTGTGCCCGCCCAATATTCTAGTATCAAAGAAATAAGGAGTACAGCCATCACACGTACGGCTGTGAACGACAATTGGGTGAAAAGACTCATTTGAAGCCTTTGAAACTTCCAAGTTGCGTTCTCCCAGTCAATGGTTAACGCATATCCCAGTTTGTCAGGTGTACTGACTGCCTCAGCTTAGTGGATTTGAATACACCTTTCTTCTCACTCTACAAACCCACAAATCTTCTGTGGCTTTCGCACTCTTCAGGCAGACAATTACTGTCTGCTCCACTGAAGAGGCTGTTAAGAAAGAGGTCACAACGATCAAAAACAACCTGAAAAAGAACGGGTATCCTGCCAGGTTTTTGAACAATACGTACAAAAAACTTAAACATAATGAAAGAGAAGATGCCCCTCCTCCACCCAACCGCGTATGCGTCCCGTACATCAAGGGCCCAAGCGAGATTCTAGCGCGTTTTACGAAAATACCACGTCAGTGTTACACATAAACCAATGTCCACCATTGGATGCCTCTTCTCGCTTCCAAAGGATCATCCTCTTAAAGAAAAAGCTCATGGGACTCGTCTACAGGAACGTAGGAGGTGACTGCGCCGCCTCCTACGTTGGGGAAACTAAAAACTTCCCGGAATGTCTACGCCAGCATCAGTATGACGTCAAAAAGAATAACTGGCAGGGTAGCGCGCTAGCAGAACACGTCCAGAAAGAGGGTCACACGATTTGATTCAACAACTGCTCTATTTTTGGCACGGAAAGAAACTGGTACAGACACCTTTTATTAGAGTCCTGGTATAGTCAGGACACCGAAAATACTAATGTCAACCGGTCAAGGCCTGTCCAAACAGGGTACTACAAAACTCAGGACTCCGGCAAATCGTGCCGCGCTCCGCTTCCGGCCGTCAGGGGGAAATTTCCCTCCGTCAAAGCTCCCGGGAGGAAACTTCCCTCCGTCAAATCTCCCCCTCGCTTCCTCCACGGTGGCCTTGCTCTGCTCATCACGTGGGTCCGGAGAGCCACTCACACGCTCTGTTGGCTGTCGGTCAATCGCTCAAGGCCTCCGCTCGCAATACGGAACCGCATCGGACGCCATCACGACGAAAGTGAATCTCGACAAAGAAAGCAGATCCGAGGCGGGCGAAACGCACCCTTCGACGCAGGAATGTCCCAAATCCACCCGAAGCCGGACCTCCTTGGCCTTCGAGCCGAGGCGACGGCGGTACGCGAGGGCATTGGCGAGGTGAGACAGACGCAGGTGGCGTGTGACGTCAATCTGACGAGGAGAGCAGTCGTGATCGTAAAAATTTTCACGACTCCTGCATGCAAACATTTTCACAACTCCGACAAATCATAAAAATAGAAGCGTCCGCTTCACTTTTCACGATTTGTCGGAGTCGTGCGTTTTGTAGTGTCCTGTTTGGACACCCCTTCAGCCGGGACACTTCCAAGCGCCTACATGTCCGGTTTGCGGAGCGTCACGCGAGACTGTACGAACCATAAAACACGTGTTGAAACAACGGCCGCTTTAAAGAAGCCAAAAACACTGGGCAATTTGCAAGACGACAACAAGAACAAAAACAGTTACCCGTGAACAAGGGGCCCAACTGGCCTCGAAACGTCGGGCTCCGTACTATTATTTTTGGTTAATTTTCCTTTTATTCATTGTCATTCCTAACCAGGTGGGTGTCCACCGAAAGGTTTACGTTTAACTCTACAAACTTTTTGGCATGTTTAACATTGCACCTTCTAGGACTGTCGTTCTCATTTATCTTTTTACACATCTGCTAAAGGCACATAGAACAGGAAAAACCAAACTCGTGTTGAACGATAGAGCTTAAAAGGCGCGCAGAATTGTGCATCTAAGGAACCACAGCAAAACAACCTTTCTTTTTGGCGTAGGTCATGTGATGTCAATCTTCCTCTTAACTTTAGTGGGAAAACTGAATTGGTGCATAGGCCACGCAACATCAATTTTTCTACTAAATTTATTAAGGGAACTGAATTGGCACATAGGTCATGCGACGTCAATTTTTCCGCAAAATTTAGCGGAGAAACTGAATTGGTGAATAGCAGTGTTATTATAATGTAAGCAAGAGGTTCAACTGGTGCCAGTGTCTATGTGACTTCCGGGAGGCAAATTGAAGCAGACAGTAATCAGTCTACTTTTGTGGTGCTCCTGTGCATTCCTGGGAGAAAAGGCGTGTGCATTTTGTCTCTTCGACGGAAAATAACTTTCGTTGTTTGGGTCATACCAAATAGTATGCACCTTTATTAACACTGTCACAGTGTAATTGCTTTAGTTGGCACATATTTTTCCTCATTAGCGAACAATGTTTAACTTTGGTATATTTCAGGCCCAGCCTCTCTTCCACAGCAGGTGTGTAAAAACAAGCAACCATTCTAAGCAAAATAACAATCGCCAAGAATATAAAGTTTGTTCAAGGCTCGCCAGCATTGCTGTGATGCATATATATTGCTAATATGCCAGTGTTGTCAATATACAAAAATTAGCCTGTCTTGCATCTTTACGAGCAGTTAAAAAACATTCAAAACATAAACAAAGTATGTGGGATATGAAAGGTGTCTCTTTTTACTATTTTCTCTGCCGGGCAGCCTTTATCGGGCACTTGTTACAAAAGCTTTCGAGCGTGCGGGTGATGTTTTTAATGTAAAACAAGCATATTCGCACAGAGCAGAAAGAATAAACCAGTACTCACTTACTGAAAATCTGACTATATTACGTGGCCTCAGGGATGGGCAAGATACATGCAAATATGTATTGAAATACAAATAAAAAATACTTTGTCAAAAATGTATTAAATTACAAATTTAATTTCATTTCCAAAAAAGCATTTAAGTACAAGATATAAATACAACCAAATGTATTTGGTCTCCTCCAAATACTTTTCCAAATACATTCCTCAAAATATGCATCAGCGACTTTAGGGCACCTGCAATGGGTTTCTGATTATCTCATTTTAATTTTGCATCGCACACTCGGGAGCTAGTGTGCGAGGCTCTAGTAACGTAACAGAAATATAACCACAAAAAAAAATGTCATCAGCTTGGACGTTATAGGTGAAAAAAGTACAGAGCTTCAAGCAGCTTTTTTTGACGATTGCATTTTGGCATAGACCAACAAAGAACCGAGACGACCAAGACGCGCAGCTCTAGCTAGAGAATTTTTTTTATTGTTGCAACTTGCACCAGTTACGGAAATCTGGACGACCCGCGCATTTAGAATGTTCCAGGCAAAAATATGGATGAAAATCAGGCTGGAAAGCATCACAAGTTGTAACAGGCACTTATTTAGCTAGTCTGCCTGTGAACGTCTATTTCGTCGCTATTCTTGCCCTGAACTAGCACCGTAATCACAAAGTCACTAAACGCTTGTGCTTGATTGAGAGACACTGCATTCAGTGCAGAACGTAGTTTTCTTCCTGCTCTGGACAGTGACAATAAATTTGAGGGATGTATTTTCGCACACAAAATTGTATTTAATTACAATTGTATTTGAAATACCCACGTTTTAGTATTTAAACACACGTCACATACATTACACAATTTGTAATTAAATACAAATGCAAAATACACAAAGTATTTGAAATCTTATTTCAAATACTTGTATGTTAGAGCCTTGACATGGGAAACGGGGGCCAGTGAAGGCTTAAAAGGGAGCGTTTAATACAAGTCTGGCGGGTACGCCTGCCCAGCAAAAAGAATGGTGCGCCACGCGGGTGGTGGCACGAGCTTGGGGTCAGTCGTCTCCTTTGTCAAGGGCGCTAACACTCGGCCATTCTGAAATTCAAATGTCCTCACCTGATGTTTCTTCAATGTCAACACCAAAGCATTTCAGCTTGTCGACGGGAGCTGTTGACGCGTAGAAACATTGAGTCCGCTTGTGGCCAGGTGTATCTTCAATGAGGTGTCATTAGAGAGTTGCATCAATTTTCCGCTGCAAGTGCGACTTCTTGTTCTTTTTTTTTCTTTCTCGAGCCTCCGCTGTTGCTCACGGAAAGTTTGTTGTCGTAGCCGCCGTCGTTGTTTCGGTGCTGCTGATTCGTATTGCGGTGAGGTCGCTTCCTTGGTTGTCTTCTTGCCGACGCGTTTTCGCTGTGCACCCGCTTGCGGCTGCCATTGCCTCCTTTCTGTTTGTTCGGTAGTGCTCGCCAATTTCCTTCCGACTGTCTACTCTGATGT